GCGCCCGGGGGAAGGCAGGGCGAGCTGGCAGCGCTGCTGCGAGGGCTGGAGGGGTCCCTGAAGTGCCGTGGTTGTTACCCCTCAGAGGCTGCTTTTGCCTCCTGAAACACCCGGCGTCACCCATCCGGGGGGCAGCGGCGCCAGGTCAGGCACTTCCAGAGGTCCGAGCGGCGTCGAGCTCGGACGCGCAGCCGGATCCGGCTGAGGCCCCCTCCCCGACCCTGGGCCCAAGGGGGTGGGAAGCTGCTCACCTCCGGTGACCCCCCGTCTCGCTGCGCGAGCCCTGATGAGTAACTGCCTCCTCTCTTGACTTTCTCCGCCACGCAGCGTGTTTTGGGACCTTTACTGCGCAGCTCCCGAAAGGCGAGACACTTGTGAACATTCGAGTGAAGCAAAAGCCTTTCATGACTACGTGAGTAACAAGTTTCTAATCCTCGCGGTAATTACAGCGTTGGGGAGCTCCGGCTTCTCCGGCACGCCGAGAGCCAGCATAACCGACTGGCAAAAGTGTGTTTTTTTTTAACCAACAATGTTCTGATTTGACTGAACAGTATTTCATAATGTTGCAATTATGCAAATGAGCTCAGATACTTATCTTAAGCACTTAAAGGCATTCAGGCTGCTGGTAGAATTAAGCAGTTTTGCATAGCAATGGACAGCAAACGTTTACTAGAGGATCGATGGTGAGATATTTCATGCTGAGGACATCTCGAAGGGTGGGTAGGGGTTGGATTGCGGCAGGGAGGCAGGGGGGATTCCCCAAAATGCTGTTGAGTGCTCTAGTGAATATCTCCCTGCCTTTGGTAAGGCTGGGGGCTTCCTTGGTTCTCTGAGTCCTCCCTTGAAACCAGCACGGCAAAGGTGTTTGCTTGTTGAAGGTGGTGTTGCAGACCCCCTTTGGTTGACAGTGTGCATCTCGTCTGTTGGTGTTTTGGGTTGTTCTCTGCAGAGGTGTTGGTGTGACCCAGGGATGATGCTCCTGGGGTGGGATGCCGGGGCTGAGGTGCCTCCCAAAAAGACACCTCTTGGCGAGGGTGCACAGCATGTCTGCTCCGGTGGGCAATGGGTGGGCTGCCCGCTCCTGTCCCGCGCACGTCGCCTGCATCCGCAGCGTCGGAAGGAATTTGCATCAAAGGATTAATCACCTGGCTGCGGGCTTGGACCCCAGTCAAGTGAGTTTAAACCCTGTAGCAGGAGCTGGTTTTGTCTGCTCTGGGGAGCCTATGGTATGGAAACCATTTTTTCTCCCTTCCTGAGTTTCTCGTTGCCTCGACATGCCTGGGTTGGGATGCATGAGGGTTTGCCAGCAAGCAGCGCTGGGCGAGCGTCTCAGGGACCTCGGCGGCGCTCCTGCGTGCTGGTGCTGGACGCAGCGGTCGCCCTGGGGCGCGGGCAGCGCCGGGCTGCTGGAGAGCCTCGGCTGGCTGCTGAGCTGCCTCTCCTCTCTGCCTGGGGTGGAAAGATGCCTGTCCCGCTGGGGCATGGGGGAAGCGGGTCTGAGTGTTTTCTAGGTGTGGGTTTGTCCGTCTGCCTGTCCCTTCCTGCGGCCGCTCTCTGTATCGCTTGTTTTAATTGGGTTGGATTAAGATGGTGAACTCCTGAACCAAGGGTCAGAGCTGACAACTGGCAGCACATTCACCAGTGCTCAGCTCGGTGTGGGCAGGCGCTCGCTTCCTGGGCATTTTGGGCCAAATTCTGGGTTTTTTGGAGCCTGGTTGGGACAGCAGGCTCATCAGGAGCAAGGCGAAGGTAGATCTTCAGGCGGCAAAGCCGCAGGTGAAGATGACATTAGCAACCAAGACGTGGTAATGCTCTGTTTACAGCAGTCTCTTTATCATGTCTGAGGATTTAGTGCATTTAGAGAAATTAATCTTTTTTTTAGCTTTATAATAATTCTAACAATAGGCCTGAGTGTATTAGATGATTCGCATAAACTTCTTTAATACATGTTGCTTTAAGCTTACAGTAGATAGACGCAATCCTGATTGTTTTTAATTCTCGGTGTAATGCAGTTTTGTAACAGCCCCAAGTGCTTTACCTTTTGGGTTTTACCGTGAAGACTCGTAAGAAGGTTTTTCACTCCCCCATGCCTTGGCTTGGTGGCACTGGTTTGGTTTCCCTGGGCATGTTTTGGCCTCAAAACGGGGGTTGGGCTTCTCCTCCCCAGCGTGGTTGGTGGCAGATGCTCACGGCGTGCTCCCTCTCTGAGGAGCGGTGTTTTCCCGGCACAACGTGTACTTTGCAGGGCGAGGGACCTACCCGGCCAAAACTTAAATATTGACCAAAGAACTGAATGATAACTGGGGGAGTGTGAATAGTGCCTTGTTTCTCGCCAGCCTCTGGGCTGGGGCATGGTGCTGGTGAGCGTGGCGGCCAGCCTCGCCGATGGGCACTGGAGCCGAAGTGCAGGTTTTTATCAAGCACCAAACCCCACCACCCATCAGCTGATGCATGGCAGCTAAAACGGGGTACGAGCCCCGAACGGGGCTGGACCAGTGAGTCATGAATCACTTCATATGGTGGTTGTGGTTAAAAATATTCTCATACAAGCCTTGGCCCAGATTGGTAGAGCATCATATTTACACTTGGCCGATGATGGGTAACCTCTGTGTGGCCAGCTTGGTGTTTGCCCAAAATATGGTGTTCCTTTGCCCAAAGACAATGTATTTACTGTGCCGCTCTATGGACAAAACGGGGATGCGCCGGGAGCAAGCGCAGCAGCGCCAGGCCAGCCGGGGTTTGGCATGCCGCCCTCCTGTAGCCAGCGCCGGAGGGGTGCTTGCCCGGGAGACGTGTCTTTGGGAGGGGGAGTGGCGGCGCGCCTCGTTAGCGGGGTGCTAATGGTGGGATTTGCATGCTGCGTCATTTCCACTTCATTTCGCAGTGTAACCGTATGAAAACTATTAGGAGCAGCAGGACAAATCGCCAGTTTTTCCCTCCAGTTTTTAATATTGAACTCTTTTTAGTGAGGGGAAAAAAAGGAGAAATCCCACCCCTCATTTTCGGAGAGTACTCTTGAAAGCCGTGGGCTCTTGCCACAGCTGAGGAATATTACTTTTTATCTTTCCCCCAGGGTTTTTTTTCCTAAGCTGGGGCAAAAGGCTGCTGGGACTTGGTAGAAAGGTGCTTGTTGGGATAGGGGTGATGGGAGCGGGGATTCACCAGGTACAGGTGGGAGGAAAGGCATGGCTGCCAGTCTGACTGCTAACGCAGCTAACGAGCTGTGCTGGTCAGAGGGTTATTAGTCAGCTTTTGCCACCAGTGTCAAAGGAGTTTCTCCAAGTTAAAAGCACCATGTGCATCCATCAACTCCTAAAACTCAACCCGTAGCTGTCGATTTGGGCTCCTCCACCAGGCAAAGCCCCGTGGTGAGCGTGCCGGTGTTACGGTGCGCTCCCAGAGCCGGCAAGCTTGCAACGGGATCGCTCAGCATGACAGGGGATTTCAGCCACCGTGTTATCTGGGAATTGGCCGATGGCTGGTCGCAGTTGAGCATTTCAACGCCGTGAAAGCCAATACAATTTGAGTTAGCGGTGATGACTGCCAGTTTAAATACCGCAGTGAATTTCTGTCAAAGAGCTAATACATAGAAAGGGGAATTGCAGAAAACTTGATCACCAGAACCACTTCAGTCGATTTTGGCCTCGAGCTACAGAAAATGAACTTAAATCTAGTTGACTGTTGCTACATACTTTTTGTGGTATTGCTCTGCCTGCACGGCCAGCTCAGAGCATCAGTGTGCAGGAGAGAAAAATCAGGGTAGCCTTTGGCTGCTGGAGATTTTGACTTCATCCTTCCCCTCCTCTTCTCCCCCCTAAGAAGGACCCACGCTTGGGAGCATTTGAAATGATGTGTTCTTTGCCATGCAAGGTCTAGGGAGTAGTGGCTTCAGCTTGCCATTAGAGCAAAGCATTGATTTTTTTTTTTTTTCTTTTCTTTTTAAACTTTGGGAATCTACTGCAGTTCTTTCTAACTTTGGTCTGGAAGGATGCTCTGCTGCAGCAGGGGTGGTTGCTGCTGGAAAGGTGGCGGTTGGTCTGGGAAAAGGTGGGGTGCTTGGGGCTCATATCCTCTCATCCTGGTTGGGGACAATCAGGGCTCCTCCTTTTTCTTCACCATCTGAAACAGTTCCCCTTGGATCGAGATCTCGGTGAGGGGGTTTCTGAAGCCCCTGGAGATGGATGGACGTAGCATCTAGGCTCGCTGGTGTTAGCGTGCAAGACTTTGCTCAGTGGGGAACGTGGTGAAACCCAAAGGGCTGGAAGGGTTTGGCCCGTTGGCAGTACAGACTGGGGGTGTCACCCAGGCACTGGAGTGTGAACTCCAAACCCAGCCATTTCCCTGCTGTAAGCACCCTCCCAGCCACGCTTTGGAGGTGAGGTGTGGGAAATTGTCCTTTTCTGCTGGATCTGCCCGTCGTGCCCCAGCTGGCTGCAGGACAGGCACCCTGTCCCGGCATTGCTGCCTGGGTGGCCCAGGCTGCAGGGGGGCACAGCATCTTCTGCTCCCCGGGGTCCATGGGGCCACCTCATGGTATGGCACCTCGGCAGGCGAGATGGGCACGTGGGACCCCTCCTGGGAGGAGATGCTCTGCATGCATGAGGGGTTTGGTGTGACTTTCGCCTCTCTTGTGCCGAGCTGTCTTGCTCCAGGACCAGCAAAGGCTGCAAGACACTTGCTCCAGGCACCCACGGCTGCATGGGGTGGGCGTGGGACCAGTGTGCATGATGGTGGTGGAGGTCTGTGAGTGCCTCTGCAACGTGCCCTTTGCAGCCAGCCTGTTAGAAATTTATTGCATAGGAGAGCAGGCGTTTTTGGGGCGGATTTGGCGCAACACAGGGCAGGGGTTCGGAACAGCTTTGCGTGGTCCCTGGGAGTCCCACAGTCATCGCCGGAGCCCTGGGCATGGGGCTCGGCCGGCGGCACGTGCAGCTCCGTCCTGTCCTGTGCAGGACTGCGCTCCATCTGGGCTCCATCCAGCTCCGCTCTGCAGGGACAGGGTTCCCCGGTAGGTAACCGGAGAGAGGAGTTTCCTTTGGGAGTGGCAGGTTGCCAGGAGCAGCTGCAAAACTCCACATCACTTAAAAAAAAAAAAAAAAAAAAAAAAAAAAAAATAGAATAAATACAGAAATTCCCTCTCCCGGCAGCACGCTTCCCTCCCAGTTTAGGGTACTGGTGTGCCCATCCTGCCTGCAAGCCTGAGTGTCCCTTAAACCCTGCTTTTACTGGAGTGCCATGTAAAGCTGGATTAGTTTAATTTTATATTTTAAACAATATTGGCAAAGTGGAGCGACCTCCACTGCCACACTTCCCACTGCCCGGTGGCGGGACGGGGGCGTTTCGGAGCAGCACCTATCCATGGATGATGCTGATAGAGAAGCTGCCGGCATGAAACTGGAGGTCAGAGCCCAG